CCCTCCCCAACAACACCCCCTCCCCTTGCTCTTGCATGTGCCCACCCCGCGTTGACCGTACGTGTAAACCAGAATGGGCGGCCCGTCGGATACACCGGCGCCCGCAGCACGGAAAAAACGGGGACTGTTCTCGAACCCCACCAGAGTTTTGCTCCTCAAGGTGCGAGGCACCAGAGCTTGTTGCCTGGTCCGACACGACCGCTTTTTGGTTCTGGGAGGTTTGCCTCACTTTCGAGGGCGGCTTTTTGGACGTACGGGCGTCTTGTTGCTCTGAGTAGTGTTCTTGTTGACCTGCTCTGTGGTTTGCCTCCACTTTTCTCGTTGTGTAGAACTCAATTGAGTCAGGTGAAAACGCGCACGCACATTTTTGTGTTGAAACCAGCTCTTCTCGGCTACCACCTGGCAGCAGTGCAAGACTAGCGTGTGGTCACTTGCACGTGTGGGCGCCTCTCTCATTCGCGCGCCCGCTCGTGTGTGTGTTTGTGCAGAATATGGTGGGGCCGGGGGAGGTGGATGACGAGCTTGAAGGGGAGACTTCCGGGGAATGCGAGCGATTCGGGCCCGTCCGTCGATGTCTCATCTACGAGATCAAGGTGTGTTAACGTGTCAACCAACCTCTTGATCTCTTCGACTTCCTTCCAGCGAGATCTAGCCGCATCATTCATCATCCATTAATTCTGTAGGGAACTCCGCCTTTCTATGGTAATTTCAGACCCTCCGTGCCTCCGCCTCCGCATCCCCGCCGCGAATTTGTTTTTCGGCCGCATTGTGCCTTTCACTATGCCTTGCCAGTTCAAAACCCTCTTATTTTGCTCGACGCTTGATTCTGATTCCTCCTGTGGGGGTCACCAACATCCACCATTAGGATTTGTCTAGGATTCTCAATTTATTATGTAAGCACCTGTCTTCAGTGATTACGTACCTGCGTTCCTCTCTTTGCTTTGGCTTGAGTTCGTTAGTCAATTCCCGGGTTCTTGCCTGGTAGCGCCCTTTTGTAGCCAAGGCCAGTACGGCAGGCAAGGCAAGACAGGAAGGTGCCCTCTCCGTGTGCTTATGAGGGAACACGCCCAACGGAATCTCCACACAAAAAATTGCTGGAGGTGCCCCCCTTGTTTTTCGTGTTACTTGTTGATTCCGCTGCTTGTTGGGACTTTGCCTTGGGTGTCTGTTAGTAGGCCTGTCGGCTGCGGGTGATGTTGTCGGACACTAGCGGGCGGAAAGTCGTTTCATTGAAACCTGTTCATGTAGAACCCCCCCCCTCCCCCCCGCCGGATGTACGGGGATCAGAACATGCGATCAAGGCTGCTTGACGACAGTCTTGCGGGTTGAAGCGTACGTCGCTCACCACTCTTCCTGCTATTGTACCCACCTCCCACTCCCAAGTCGTTGTGGTGCGGGTTTGTTTCTTGACTTGCTTTGTACCACTTCCCACTCCCATGCTATTGCGGTGCGGATTTGTTTCTTGACTTGCGTTGTACCACCTCCCATTCCCACGCTATTGTGGTGCGATATATTGACGGTGACTTCTCCGCCTTCATTGCCGACCTTCGCGCATGTGCTCTGCTGTATGCTGTGGTGTGTAGGGGGGCGACACGCCAGACACGGAGAGGGTTCGGATTTTCGTGGCGTTCGAGAAGCAAGAGAGTGCCGTCAAAGGTTTGTCAAACGAGTTAGGCAGAGGGGGCAAGATGGGGGCAGTACATGCCACATGTCTCGCTTTTCCACATGGTGATGAACCTCTTCGTCGATCCCCTGATGATGCGTGCTTGATAGTGTGGATACATGTCGTAGATTCTTCATGGGCTCTTTTGGTATGAGCGTCCACAGCACGGAGCATGACGGCTGGAACACGCTCATTTATGTGGAGACAGAATAGTATTTCAATGACGACGAACGTTCTGGCCCTTATCCTTAACTGAACTACCTCCAACTGCTGTTCCGTGTTTGTTTGGCCGCGTGGACAACTTTGCGAAGCCTACCTGGAGATGAACGGTCGTTTTTTTGGGGGACGACAGATCGCCGCGTCGTTCTACAAGGAAGACAAGTTCGACGCGTTAGATCTAGAGCCTCAGGCGGACGAGGAAAAGTCGTAGAATCGCTGCTTGTGGCGGCCCATAAAACTACTGGTGCCTCGTCGGAGACGGACGATTTGATGGAACGTCTTGGGCGTACATACAATAGTTTGCTGCTGTTTCGGGCGTTTGTTGTAATGATGCGTGCGTGTGTGACTGGTATGTCGCATTTGTGGAAGATGATGTCATTGACGATGCTGGAGTTGTGGACAGAACATGGACAAATCGTTATCGAAGTTGGGCCAACATGATGCGCGAAGGACTTGGGTGGAGCTGTTCAAGAAGAGCTAGGTGATCTGCGTGAACACGGCCGATGTCCTGTTCTGAGCAGGCGGGACTCTCGCTCATCGGATTGCCTGGAGTTTTGCTGGTGGTGATGAGCTAATGTTGTCAGCGTACAACAATGTAATAAAACCGTGACCACCGGTTCTAAATCATTACCAACGATCGCAACGCTGTACAACGACCTGGTTCGAAGTAGTTAACATGTTGACGTACGTTATGCTGCGAGATATTTTTTCAAACAGTCGAAGACGTTCTGTGTGTGTCGTTCGTTATCGCCGGTTCGTCAAAAAGCATCGGCCGAGGGAATCTATCGAATGCGTCTTTCTCATCGCGACCAAAAGGAAGACGAAACTACTGCGCGGGCTCCCTGATCAGGATGGATTTGGGGCCACGCGGTGGGTACATGTCCTCCTGAAGGATGGGTTAGCTCAAGTCGCCTCCTCCACTATGCCACCAGCACATGATGCCGAAGGATGACGGGATACCCCAGATAAAACTGCAATTTATGCTGTCAGTTGTCAATGAGCACAGTGTTATTGTACGCGATCAAACGGAGCCAGCCCCTGCTCCCTGTGAATACGAGCTCCTGCGCGAAATACTTGGTCTACATGATGTGTTTTTGTTGTCTTCATCACACATGAAAATCAGTTCCCGTCTCTGCTTAGTACCAACTGCGAAGGTGTACCGATTCAGGTAAAAATCAATCGACGGATACCCTGCGAATCGGGTCCTCCTTAACACTCTTCAACTGCAATTGATGCTGTCAGTTGTCAATGTNAAGGCTGTACTGACTACAGTGGGAAACAGGGCCCCCTGAACCGTAACATTATTTATTCATGAAACCTTCGGAAAAATGCGTTATTGGGGAGGGGACAGGGGATGGGCGGAAACACGTGGAAATGAAGAGATAGCTTCAGACACATTTTGCTAGCTCCAACGACGTGCTGTAGAACCCAAGCGACCGAAACAAAGCACCCACACCACAGACCAGTGCGAGCTATGGAGGGTGGCACTAGTCCTGATGCGAAGCGGGCCCGTACTTCCGCGGACGGAGGCCAAACGAACTCAAAAAATACAGCAGCAGCGGCGGCGGCGCTCTATCCTGCCGCAGGCTGCAGCAGCGGAGGCGCCGCCGCCGCCGCGGCGGCACCCGGCTCCATGACCGCACGCTCACGCGGTGCTGCGCCGGAGGGCGAACCCGATCCAATCTTTGACGACCCGGTGGTGGGGGAAGAGATCGAGGGCTTGATGGGAGACCCGCCCAGCGTGAGCGATGACGAGGAGCTTGCTGCCGTTCGAAAGCATGCTATCGAATCCCCGGAGACTGTCCGGGCTTTCATCAAGGAGCGAGCAAGGAGCCTGGCGATCGGAGCTGGCTGCCCCCACTCCCTGCCCCTCGTGACTTGGAAGGACGACCCAGCTTCCGCCGTGACATGCGGGAAGCATCAGGCGCATCTGATTGGGAACGTCGACTTGCAGGTATGCACACAGCTGCAGCAGCGCCAGGTGTAGACTAGTCTAGCCGATGCCGGTTACAGTAGTTGGGCACAGCAGTAGCTGTACAGCAGTGGCCATGCAGCCCGACGTCTTCGTTAGGCAGCAAAGCGCAGCGTGAACTACTGCAGAGAGCTTTGAGTTCCAGTAGCTTCCCGGAAAGTTCCATCNCGTTAGGCAGCAAAGCGCAGCGTGAACTACGGCAGAGAGCTTTGAGTTCCAGTAGCTTCCCAGAGAGTTCCATTAGTATTGCCCTGTCCCCAAAACGAGTTGAGGGACAACGTGCTACATAAAAAAAACATGCACCCGCCTCCATGACGCAGTATATCACCCCCCCTGAATCCGTGTGTTGTTTTGCAATCCATGGGCACACGACAGCCTAGGCACCTGGTGCAAGGTATTTTGCAAACATACTGTTATAGGAAGGCTACAATTTAGTGCATCGAGCGCACGCTGCTGTTCATAGTTTTTTTTCAATAGTTTTCGATCATGCTGCACAACTTGTGGAAGGCCAGGTACAAACCTGTGAGTA